AATGTGTAGAGATTAGTGACCGTTAATCGATAGTTATTCAGTTATCGTGAGATGCGGTCGGGTGTGATGTAGGTTTCAGAAAAACATTTTCTTTATCGTGCCAACGTTTCGATCTTTTATTGAAATCATCTTCAGGGCTCAAAGTGTTTGTCTTCTGTGTAATTGTGCCATCCTTGCGTGTCGTGTTGAGAGTGTAATATATAAAACATTAAAACCAAGAGTGGAGAAAATACCCATTGGTATTACTAAAATATTGTCTGCTTAATTAATACTTCTGTCATTATCACTTTCACTATCATCACCATCATTTCCTAGGAGATCTCGCGGCCATTGTCTCTTTAGTCGGCGGAGAGGTTTTTGAGGGGACTCGTCGGGATGCGGGATTTCTGATGTGCGATTGGATTAAGATAATTAGGACTTTTTGGTCCCATTTTGAATGTAGAATCTACTGGCAATGTTTGTAACATGAGTAGCAATATTGATCCTTTGGTTTCCCGCCTGAGAAAGCTGTTTTATAAATTTAGAATTTTTACGCAACTTTATGAAAATTGAACTCTTAAGGGCAATATATTTTTCTCTTGCACATCCTTCCTATGGTATTTGTTTCCTGGGGAGTTATTAATAAATGCTATACTAAGACTGGATGTAACTGTAAACTCACTTCTTAAAATTGTTGGGTTGTTTCAAATGAAATGTCATTTTCCAAGATAAGGTTTTTTTTAGTAACATTACTATATAAAAACAAAATCATTTTATTCGAATTATTTACCTTAATTTTCACACACGCGTCATTAACTTTTTTATGCCAGAACTGAAGAATTCTGAGCTTTGAAATGAAACAAAATCTGAAAACGCTTTTTGGACCTGAACGTAATTTTCTACAATTTTTCCTTTGACTAAAGTTGTCTAAATTCCTTCACGGGTGAAAATCTGTTGGAGAAAAGCCTGGAGAATAAGGTGAATGCTAACGAACTTCACAGCCATGCCCTTTCAATTTGTTTTGAAACATAAGACCTGGCGTGGAGGAGTGTAGGACCTTTCCGATTTACCAATGCAGGTTGTTTTTTGAGTAATTTTTTATGCATTTCGTCAATTTCCTTGCAGTACGATGCGTCTCATCTCTAGGCAAAAAGGAATAATGAATAATTCCAACCATGCACCGCCATATGGTCACTATCAATTTTTTGGGTGTTAATTTGGTTTTGTCATATGTCCTGGTCTTCCGTCGATATTTAACCACTGCCCTGACCGACGCTGATTGTCATTTGCAATTCATTTTTCGTTGCAAGTGATTATTCTTTTTAGTAGCCGAACAACGAAACACATGTCTCAAGGCGCTTTAACTGCTGTTGCTCAGTGAGCTCACGGGGGCCAAAGATCAAGATTTTTGACTGTTCTTTAATTGTCTTGACACACACTTTAGTAGTGCTGCGAGTCCTCTGACTGTTTGATAATGGTGGTTTTCTTCCACCTGAAGCTTAAGGACATCGATGTCAATTAAAGTTGGAGGTATTCTAGGGTCTTCCAATTCGGTCTTACGTTCCGATAACTTAGAAAACCAACGGCGAAGGGCTCATTTACACTCCCTTTCCCAACGGCTTACTGATGTTTCTTGCAACTTCAGCTGCCGAATGACCGAGTTTAAAGTCGTATAGGAACAGGAAAAAAGAACTAAGAAGAAAAAGAAGAAGTAAAGGACGAAAACCGCATGTTTCCTTGTTCAAAAAGTGTGTAACGGATTTGGGAGTTCATCATTTTAAACAAAATTGGTGGATTAATAATGACTCCTTAATTATAATATGTAAACAATTGGAAGTGAACGATAGAAAACCGCTATATCCTCTCTGAATTTCAGAAACTACAATCAATAAACAGAAATATTAATAAATAAAGAATAGAATAAACAGAAATCGGACATTTCTTGTGAAACAACCAATATTTTAAGTAAACCGTATAGATATAATAAGAAAAATTGTACAGTGAAAGTAATAATAATGATCTATACCAAAACTTTCTTAAATGTTCAAGTTTGTATAAATACAAAAATAATCTTGTAACTAATAATTAATAATACTAGTGAATATAACAAAAGACACAATTCATCGGCTAACTCACATTTTTACAATTAACAATTATAATACAAGTACAATTATAATTTTTCATTAAATATGGCACTTCTTTTTTTTTTTTTATAAAGAGAGGGTTATTAATCAAAATTTCAAAAACTACCAAAAAGGAAAAAATTTATAATTTCAAAATTTTTTTAATTGTAGTTAAGATATTTTAAAGCCAAGATTTAATTTGGTTAGTTTTTTTTCATATTACACGTTTATTCTGTATTATGTTTGTTTTTCATTATGATTTTGTAAAGATATATTCAGTCTATTTCTCTGAGGATCTCCGAAACTTCCTGTTGTCTAGTACAAGCTTTGCTTTTTGACGGCAGGCTGGGATGTACCAAACTATTATTTTTGTTATAAATTTATATGTAATGTACATTCTGGCAAATAAAGTTTATTATTATCTCCAGTCTAAAGTCGTTAAGCCTTAAAAAAAAGTACCGTCCATAATTCCCCCTTCATTTCGAATAAAATGGGATGTTTGCTAACAAATAGAAAGGACGGTATAAATTATTCAATCGGGTGGTTAATGAGCCGTTTTGAAATGGGGCGAAATTGAATTTTCATTGCCTGTTGAGCCGTTTTCGGGGAGCGGAATGGCGAATTTTAAGTCTGCTCCCCTCCTTACATTTTTCCCCGACAAATTTTGATAAAAAGACAGAAAGAGGCTTAAACCTGATGTGAATGTGAAACGAGGCGGATTCAACACGCAAGGTTTTTAAATATTAAAAAAAAAATCGCAGGAATTTTTTTTCTTTCCCAGGTAAAAAGGTTGCAAATCTGGGCCGTGCGCTATGCCTCCTGAATCGCAAATCCTTTTAAGACGAGGAAGAAAACGTGGTGAATCACAATATACTTTTTATTTTTTCGTAGTTTGGTCCATTTTAAGATCATTCTGGCCCGCCTATCATCGCTGTTTCCACATTTTAGTTCACTACATTTTATATTTTCTTCGGAGGTGAAACGTAAATAATATCGTCGTTTTTATCAATTAAAAAGATTATTTAAATGTTACAACGGCATGGCGAACCGTCAAGATTTAATTAGTTATTTTTACATTAGTACATTTGAACTTTCCTTTCATCAAAGTTCTTTCAGTTGATCCAAGTTTTCCTACAATATGAACATACTTATCAAATCCTAAAGCTCCGACATTTTGTTATTTTAATTATGTTAAAAATTAAAAAAAGTTAAAAAAAATTATGTTAAAAATTACCTTCCTAACTTAGAATAACCAAGGCATCATATAAAAGTGACTAAAGGTGTTTTTATTTTTACAGAAAATAACAATAAAAACAAAAAATTAATATTTATTTTATAAATTACCTTCCTAACTTAGAATAACCAAGGCATCATATAAAAGTGACTAAAGGTGTTTTTATTTTTACAGAAAATTACTGAAGCAAGCGTATAAAAAAAGGTCAACCAACCGAATCTTGAAGCTCCGCCATTTTGCTATAACCCAAAAATTACCTTCCTAACCTAGAATAACTAAGACATCATATAAAAGTGACTAAAGACGATTTTATTTTTACAGGAAATAACAACAAAAACAAAAAATGAAGATTTATTTTGTAAATAAGATGATCATCTAAGTTGAAAGAAAAGGTTAAAAATTACTGAGCGTTTAAAAAAAGGTCAACCAACCAAATCATGAAGCTCCGACATTTTGCTATAACATAAAAATTACCTCCCTAACCAAGCATAACTAAGGCATCATATAAAAGTAACTAAAGACGTTTTTATTTTTACAGGAAATAACTTTAAAAAATTAGGTTTTATTTTGAAAATAAGATGATTATCTAAGTTGAAAAAAAGGTTAAAAATTACTGAAGCAAGCGTTTAAAAAAAGGTCAACCAATCAAATCTTGAAGCTCCGCCGTTTTGCTATAACACCAAAATTACCTTCCTAACCTAGAATAACTAAGACATCATATAAAAGTGAATAAAGACGATTTTATTTTTATAGGAAATAACAAAAACAAACAAATATTATTGATCAATTTCAGAAAGCAAATGTGAGGCAAGGAAATGGTTAAAAAGTACGAGGGCAAACATTTACAAACTTACTTGACGTTCCGCCATTATGTTATAACAAAAAAATTACCTTTTTAATTTATAAAAACAATGATATTATATAAATGAGATTAATTATTCGTTCATTTTTCAAAAAAGTTAATAAAAACAAATAAAGATCTATTTTATAAAAAATGTGATTGTCTAATTTTAGAGAAAGGTAAATATCTGAGTTAAAAGAAAAGGCTAAACAGTAGTCAATCAAGCGTTTAAAACAAAATAAAAATAACTAATCACAACTGGACGTTCGCCATTTTGTTATACACTTAAATAACCTAACTTATTAAAACGACGGTATTACATAAGTATGACCAAAAATATTTCCTTTCAGAAAAAAAAGAGAGAAGTGAATCTTACACTCATTTATATAATACCGTAGTTTTTCTAGGTTAAGATGGTAATTTTCTATTATAAAGAAATAGTTCGGTTTACTACTTTTCAGCATTTTCTTTCATATTCAGCATTTTTGGTCTTTAGCAGAGTACATTTTATATTAGGTTCTTCGAAGGTGAAGGAAGTGTTAGCAACCGATTAACATTTAAAAACCTACTTTTAGACGGATAACGTTTTTACTACTGGATAACAGAAGAGACATTTTACTTAATTAACTACTTGTTTACAGATGATAACCTTGAAATAACCTCTAAACTCCTTCAACGTTTCAAGTAGATACAAAAAGGCATTTAAATAAATAAAAAAAACGAACAATCCCTCTGCCGAACAAAAATTCCGACAGACTAAAATACTGAGATCCAGCGAACGATTCAATCCGCCAATATTTTAAAACTCACATCTGACCCGTAGGATCGGACAGGAGGTGGAGATGGATCAGGAGAACAAGATCGACATCCAGAATCAGAACGCTTCCAATTCCACAGAGGAGATCAACAAGTTCTACTTTTACGCGGTTGGTAACAAACAGATTATAAACATTGTTAATTATATATATTTATTTTTGATGCATATTTTGTAAAAATACAACCGGCAGATAACCTGCAAATAATCTCTTTACAGTTTGATAATCTACAGAAACCTACTTTTCGACGGTGAGCCTACCAATAACAACCTCCTTACAGTTTGATAACCGTTTTGAAACGGACCTGTCTAATTTAAACTAAAAATTATTATTCTCTTTAAAGTCTAATAACTTATAAAAAACCTACTTTTCTAAAATAACTTATCTCCTTACAGTTTTTAATTTGTACAAAACCCACTTTTGACGGTTAACCTGCAAATAACATATCTCATTACAGTTTAATAACCTTTTTGAAACCTTCTTCTCGAAGGTTAATCTACAAATTATTTACCTCTTTACAGTCTGATAACCTACTTATGGAACCTAATTTTCTAAAAATGACCCACAAATAACTACTTCTTTACAATTTTTTAATCAATACTAAACCTACTTTTGGAAGGGTAACCTAGAAAATAATGTTTCTCTTTAGAATTTGCTAACTTACACAAAACATACTTTCCTAAATTAACCTACAAATAACTTATCTATCTTCCTTTCGAAGGTTAATTTAGAAACAATTTACCTCTTTACAGTCTGATAACCTACAGAAACCTACATTTCGACGGTGAGCCTACCAATAACCTACCTCCTTGCAGTTTGATAACCGTTTTGAAACGTACCTGTCTACCTACAAATAATGTTTCGCTGTAGAGTCTGATAACTTATACAAAATCTACTTTTCTAAAATAATCTACCAATAAAATCTCTTTATAATTTTTTAATCTATACAAAAGCAAGAAGTTTGGACGAGTAACCTACAAATAATCTTCTTCTTTACAGTTTGATAACCTATATTAAACTTATTTTTCTAAGGTTAACATACAAATAATTTACCTCTTAACAGTTTTTTAATCTATATAAAACCTACTTTTTGACGGTTAGCCTACAAATACCTTTGATAACCTATACAAAACCTACTTTTCGACTGAAACATTTCCTTAATTACTTGGCGCACCTATTTCATACAATCCTGAAAATGTATTATAATTCGTAAGATATGATATAAATGCCGACAGGAGGTTGTGATGTTCATGGTGCAGTTCAGAATGGAAAGGATTGACGATTTTCATCTCTATTATGCGATCCTTCGTCTATTAATCAACGAGCAACATTTTCCTAAGATGACGCGAGCGAAATCCAGCCTGTTAGGAAAATCTCCACCGTCGGCGAAATGAATGGAAAGTGAATCATTAAAGATCGGAACAGGATTAAAAAAAGAGCCTTGAAAAGCTTTCTTCGTCTTCCCCGTGGGATGATTTACGGGCCGGGGTAAACCGTTGGATTCGTCGGAGGTGTATATAAAATCGGGGTTCGGGGGGTGGATAATCCGCCCTGCGGCTATCCGGTCACGCATCAACAGTAAATAGCGGATTCAAGAGTGGAAGGCGGGGGTGGAGGAGCACCTACATTTTTTCGGGGTGTCTCTTTAACAGTTGCCCCAAATAATGGAGAGAGAAAACATGTTTCAGCAAACCAAGCTAAGAGGGCTGTTCTACGTTCCTTCGGTTTACGAGATGGCGAATTTCAAAAAACGACAGAGGCACAAAATAAAATATGAATTGTCTGGACTATATCGACGTGAAATGCAAACCGACAGGCTATCTTCTTAATACCCAACCCTCCGTCCTAATCCTATTTGCTCATCCAAGCATCCACCAAACCTTATGTTCTCTCGGGAAGGTTTTCCCGAAATTTTTTTTATCCTTATGAACTTTGAATTCGACCTAGTGTATTTCCCCCCTTTCAGACTAGTATATTGGGCATATATTGTAGTTCGAGGTCGGTCGATAGTCTAGTTACAGCCCCAGGTAGTGGATTTTTTGTGCTGCATTCTAAAGTTTACAAAGGATTGAAGGGGTTAAGAGTTTTAATTCTTATGTGACGTCAGATGAAGTAAACGGTTTACGGGAACAGATGGAGGTTCACATGAATGTGAAGATCTTACCAGCATTATTGATGGTAAGAGTCGCAACCCAGGAATGATTGGCAGGGCTGTGGCAGGTTAGGTTGCGTTTCTGGTTACGGTTAGGCTGAGAGTCAGGTTGAGTTACGGTTCGAGACAGATAAAAGACGGATAATGATATAGAAATAAGGGTAGATAGAATGAACAATAGGATTAAAGTTAGAGGGTGGAGGTTAAGGTTAGGTACAGGGTGGTTTGGGTTAAGGACTGGTTATGTAACGTTACGGAGGGGTTGAATAGGGACTGTATTTACGTTAAGTAGAGTTAGGGTTAGGATTAAAATTATGTTAGGGTTAAGAGCAGGTTAGAAGGCGTTAGCTAGAATTAAAAATACGTTAGTTGCATTTAGGGTGGGTTTGGGTTAAGGTTAGGTAGAATTAGATACAGGAAGGTAAAGTTGGAATTAAAGTTAGATAGGGTTAGGGGTGTAAAGGACGGGTTAAGTTACGTCAGAATTAGAGTTATGAGGATTATGTTTGATTTGAATCAGGGACGTTAGGGTAAGGTTTAGAGTTAGGTTTGATTTGAGTCAGGGACGTTAGGGTAAGGTTTAGAGTTAGAGACGGGTTAGGTAAGGTTGGAGTTAGAATGAGAATTAGGTTTCATTAGAGTTAGGGGCCGGTTAAGTGTGATTAGAGTATGAAACGGTTAGAGTAGATTTAAAAGGATTAGAATTTGGAAGGGTTAAGATTAGTTAGGTTTAGGGTTATGATTAGAGTTCTAGTTAGATTAGAGGTAGTAGTTTATTTGTGGTTAGGGTCTGCACACGTTAGGGAAGGTTTTGTTAGGGTTAAGGTTGGGATTTGAGTGAGGCATGTTTGCAGTTAGAATTCCAGTTAGTGTTATGGTTGGTTGGGAGAGGGTTATGTTTAGAGTCAAGTTGGTTAGGGTTTAGTTGGGTTAGATAGTTTTTTAAGAGGCTATTACAACTACGAGGTAGTATTAGAGTAAGTTAAATTTGCATGATTCACCGTTTTTCCGTCGAGTGCGATTTTTTCTGTTTTGTTTTCGAGGCAGACGGAACAGTTGGCCGTCCTTTGGACCCTGTTCATCCTGATCGTGTTCGGCAACGCGACCGTCATCCTGGCCCTATCCTTCTCGAAGAATCGAAAATCCAGGATGAACTACTTTATAATGCAGCTCGCGGCGGCAGGTGATTAAGCCAGATTGTTCATTTAGTTTTGATATTGGTAATGAAAGTTAAAAATTTTCCGTTTGAAAACTTTTAGATCTCGCTGTCGGTCTCATCAGCGTTTCGACGGACATCGTGTGGCGGATTACGATCACCTGGCATGCCGGCAACGTGGCCTGCAAGCTCATTAGATACTTGCAGGTAATGCTGAACAAAGAAAATAAAAACTAAGTCCCTGTGATGTTGAATATTAAATTGTGTTTTTTCCCCTAGGCTTTGGTAACTTACGCGTCGACTTACGTCCTCGTCGCTCTAAGCATCGACCGGTACGACGCTATTAAGCACCCAATGAAGTTCTCGAGAAGCTGTAATCACATTATCCAAGCCCCGTTCTACTCTTACATTTTCGTTTTATTAATATTTCAATTCGGTTTAAGGGAGGAGGGCGAGAGTGCTCGTGGGAATCGCGTGGGCCCTCAGCGCTTTGTTCTCCTTGCCGAGTTTAATTATGTACAGAGAGGAGCTTATTCAGGGTAAGCACTCATACTTCTTTCAACGGGCTTTGACTTATGAGAAGTATTACAGACCAGCTCCAGTGCTGGATCGAGATGAAACAGTGGGAGTGGAGGGTATACATGACAGTCGTCAGCCTCGCTCTCTTCGTCATACCCGCCGTCATCATAACAGCCTGCTACACGGTCATCGTCTCGACCATCTGGAGCAAAGGCAGCAACGTCATCGTACTCACGAAGAGGACCCAGAAAGGTAAATCCCTTCTGAATCTCCAACCCTTTTCTATCCTCCTCACCCCAACCTCTTTTTCCTGAATGAGTTAACGGGCGGTGCGGGCGGCCCCTTTTAAAGCAGAACGTGACGAATTGGCTAATTAAATTCGCCTCCGAGAAAACGGCGGCTGGATGTTGGAAACATCTCGAAAAAGAAATACAAAAACACCCATCAAATTCTTACAAAAACGTACATATTTATACTTGGATAACATTAAAATAATATAAAAAGGGATTGAGAAAATTTATTCCCCTTTTAAATGTATAACCTTTGAAAATCCTTCGTTTACTTGCATATCCCTAAAAAAAGGGATAATCAAAGAAAAACCTTCTCTTTATAAATAAAGAGAAGGTTTATAAAACCTATAGAAAGCTAACTTTATAGGCTAGATCACCTCAGAATAAACCCCATTTTGTTTTGCAATGTATAACCTATAATATACCTATAAAACCCCTACCTGTTGACTTATAGTTAAGTAGAGATAGTAATAAAAGAGGCGGCCACAAGGCCTACGGCACCTCGACCTGTATTGATCTACTGTGCTCTCCTGTTATTTATAATTCACTGACCAGCTTCAGGTTATTAATTAGCCTCCATAGCTTTGCCAGCGGCTCCTTAGTGTAGGATCTTGCTTGTGGTTTTTTTGTCCTAGGTGCAATAACCTGCACATACACAACTGCACATCACAGAAACATAGAATGTGTTCTGCGGTCTCCTCCTCTTCCTGGCAGTATCTGCACAGTGTTTCTTCTGACTGCACTCCCATCCGTTGCATGTGCTTTCTTAAGTGGTAGTGCTCTGTTGGGAGACCAACCGGAATCCTCGTTCGGTTGCCATCCAGTAATTCTTTTGTTAGTTTTGCGGATGGTCCTTCTATGACTCTCTTCCAATGTCTCATACCTGTTGTATTGTTCTACCAGGGTTTGGACTCGTTAAGGATCCATTTTAAGATGTATCCTCTTTTGGCCAGCGTCAGGTCATTGGTGTCGCTGACTTCCGTCATGCAGCTCCAAACCCTCTTTCTCTTCGACTCGCATGAGGCTAGGGGCCCTAAGTGAACCTACCTGAATGTCAGAAAAAATGGCTATCTTCCGGGAATGTATTCCTAGCCTTTTTATTTCTCTGGCACATAGTTCAATCGTTATGATTTAAGACTGGAAAACTGTAGCATATTTACCTAGTTTTACCGTCAGTTCGGTCTTTGGGTTCATCCCGAAGACTCCAGCTCTCGTACCTTTGGCGGTTTTGGAGCCGTCAATATACCAGTAGGAGTTTGCCTTTAGCGGTGTTACGGTTATGTAATCGAACACTTATTGGATGACCTTAGAATAAACTCCATACTGTACTTACTTAATTTAAGAATGAGTAATCAATCAAAGACCTACCTAAAAGATAACATAGTAAACCAATTTCATGTACGAGAACATCAGAAAAAACCTTCCTTTTTTTAAACAGATTACCTATGAAAAAATCCAAGCCATTTACGACTTAATAACTATGAAAAAGAGGCTTTTCAAACGTATAACCTCAAACAAACCTTCCTCTTTTTTAAATGGACACCCTTCAAAAAGCCTACTTTTTAAAAATTAGTCAGACAACCTACAACACCTACTTTAAAACGGATAATCATTCGATTAAAAAAGCATAATCTATTAAAATTCTATCTATTTAATTTCAGTTCGAGAACTGACAAAAAACTACTTTGCTGGCGCATAATTTAGAATAGCCTTATGTTTTTAAAAGATAAATGTATAATCTATACAAAACCTACCTTTTCGTCTATTACTTACAGACAGATAAACTTCTATTATAATTGATGACATTTATTTTTCTTTAAATTTCTTTAGGTATGTTGCAAAGGGTGCGTCTCGAACACGAGCACGAGTGCAGGCGAGCGAGCTCAAGAGGTCTTATTCCAAGGGCAAAGGTCAAGACTATCAAGATGACATTCGTCATAGTTTTCGGTAAGTAGCGCCAATTTGGAAATATGCTATTCGATGTTAACTTACAAAAAGCCTTACTTTGTGAAGGTATAACCTTTGAAAAGTCTGTCTTCTTATACTCGCATATCCTTTACAAAACTGACTTATAGGTGGATAACCTTTGAAAACCTACCATTTCATACTTGCATAAACTTTAAAAACTAACTTTATAGATGGATAACCTTTGAAAATCCTACCATCTCATACTTTCAAGACCTTTAAAAATTTACCTTATAGAAGGATAAACATCGAAAAACCTACCATTTGTACAATTTGCACATACAATTTGCATTATAGAAGGATAACCTTTGAAAATCCTCCCTTTTAAATCATACATAACCTTTCAAAAAAACTGACTTTATAAACAGATAAACTTTGCAAACCTTTTCATACTTGCATAGCCTTTAGAAAGCTTATTTTCGATAAAAACTAACTCTATTGGTGGGTAACCTTCCCACTTATAACAAATCGTATTTCTCTTTCAGTTTTCATAATATGCTGGTCTCCTTACATCATCTTCGACCTCCTTCAGGTCTACGACTACGTACCCAAGACGCAGACGAACCTTGCCATCGCCACGTTCGTCCAGAGCCTGGCGCCGCTCAATTCCGCCGCCAACCCGCTCATCTACTGCCTATTCTCAACGAGGATATCAAGGGGCCTCAGGTACGAACCATCTGTCTTTGTGAAATTTATCATTCAATTTATTATTGTAATTTTTGCTATTAGGAAGTTTGCCCCTTTTTCCTGGCTCTTCAGGTGTTGTTGCCCCTCATCAGGGAACGACAACTGCCTCGGCTACGCTGGCGACATGAGCTCGACCCTCACTTCGTCGATAACCCTTCAGTCAAAGAGGGGCTCGACCAACCTGAGCCACTCACGATCTTCGACGCGAAAGCCCGTCTCATTAGTCACCCTTTTATGATCAACACGAGGCTATCTGTAAATACTATAGGCGCTTTTGGCGGTATAAAAAAAAATAAATATTTTTTAAAGAACAACTCATATATATATATATATATAAAACTTTATCAACGGATAACCAATGTAAAACGTACTATTTTTTAACGGATAACATGTAACAAACCTTACCACCAACAGTTGTATAACCTGTCAAGGACATTGTTGAATGGTTAACCTTTAATAACCTACCCTTAGAGTTTGATAACCTATTAATACAAAGTACATTATCGAACCAATCAAAAGCCTTCCTTTTTTGAATATAACCTACAACTATCCTTCCCACCAACAGTCACATAACCTTCAAACACAGTGGTGAGCGGATAACCTGTAATCTACCGAAATTATAAAAACCTATTAAAAGGATTTCGTTATCGACGAATAACCAACGAAAAATTACCTTTTTAAACGGATAATCTATAAAGAACCATCTTACTTACATTTTGATAACCTATAAAGGACAATTTCAATGGAAAACTGTAGTTTTTTGATAATTCGAAAAGGCTTTCGTTTTTTCGTCTTTTCGAAAGGATGGTTGTCGACGATAATCTATAAAAAAGTAACATTTTTAAAAGGATAACCTGTATCGAAAGCTGCCTACTTACGGTTTGATAACCACTGAAAAACCTACGTTTTATTTATTTAAACACATACTCTATAATTAACCTGCACATGCACAGTTAACCTACATATTTTGTTTAATGAAGGGTTTGTTTAATGAATAACAAATTAAAACAAACATACCTAAATTTGATACCTTATCAAAAACGTTAGTTTTCCATGAATAAGCAATGACCAAAGATAGCCAGCTAAAACCTCCCGTACTGAGAACCCTTACTAAGGCTGACTAGCAACAAATCTAATGTATTGAAAAATCACCTATTTGAAACGTAATTTATTTAAAGAGACATTTAAAATAACAGCATTATTCGAAAATAACTTTAATGAAACCTTTTTTCGTTGGAGACTAATTAACGAAAATACCTATTTTGACTAACGATAACCTATAAATACTTCATTGTCTTCAGGAAACTTTAACATAACCTACTTAGTTGAAAGTTAAATTATGAAAAACTTACTTTATTGAAAATGTTCCTATTTTTAACCCACTTTGTTGAAGGATTATCTATAAATAAAGCACTAACATTGACCTAAGTTAACTTTAGTAAAACCTACTTAGTTGCAGGCAGTTGCAGGTGAGGAAAACCTACTTTATTGAAAAATGACCTATTTGAAACATACTTTGTGGAAAGAGAAGTTATAAATTAAATAAAAACAAAAACATTATTCACAGTCACAGATAACTTTAGTGAAACTTGATTTGTTGAAGGCTAACTAATGAAAAACTTCCTATGACTAACGATAACCTACAAATAAAATGCTTACATTGTCCAAAGATAACTTTAATAAAACCTCCTAGTTGAAGGTTAACTTATGAAAAACTTATTTTATTGAAAGGTAACCTATTTTGCACCAATTTTGTTGAAGGATAATCTATAAATAAATACTTACATTGTCCTAACGTAACCTTAGTAAAACCTACATGGTTGAAAGTGAACTTATAAAAACTTACTTTTTTTTAAAGATAACCTATTTTAAATATAGTTTTTTTTTGTTTTTTTAAACCAACGGCTGAGGAAAAAATATATTTTTAGGCATACATACATACGTATATATATTTTTTAACTTATTTTTTTTAAAGATAAATTATCAGTCTCTCCTCAGGTGAACTGTACATGTACTGTATCGTACATGCGTGCTTTTTCTATGTTTCTGTCTAACCCTATCGTTTTTTGTTGTTTTATTTATTAATTATTCACTGGACAAAGCAAGACAAGTGAAAAATGTCAAGAAAAATTCAAGACTGATGTTTTTAATAAGGCAATTTTTATTTGTTTATTGACTCTCTTTATCTGTTGTGTATTTTTTGTTTGTTCGTTTTTAATATTTTGCAGTGTGAATTTTGTTGTTTCAAAAATTAGACTTAAGTAGAGAGAAAAAGTGTACCTAGTCAATTAAAAAAAAGTTTGATGTTTTATGATTATTATTGATAATAAATGTTGTCGAGCATGTCTTTTTTTATCCACATCCAGTCATATCAGAAAAAGCAAATCTTTCTTAGATTTAAAGACCCTTGACCCTTTCAACGTCCGAGGGCTGGAAGTGGAAAGGAAAAGGGCGGAAGAATGGGTCGGAGGGGGTTGTTTTTACTCCCCCGTTCAAGTTCCTCCCCACGGCCCATTATTATTTACGGACGGCATTTAATAGGAGTACTTTGCGGCCGACAATCGGATCCTTCCAGTTTGGGTATGTCTTCGTACGTCAATATTTGATGAAATGGAGTTATATTTATACGGGAGGCTTTTAAGGGAAAACGGCTGGAAAAAGGGATCCTCAGGGTTTGTTTGCACTGGCCCAACACGTCAGGACCTCTGGGAGGAGGGGGAATTATACTCCGTTTATGTCCCAGACTTGTCAAGGAGAAGAAAGAAAGATTTTCTTCCACCTCGGACTTCACCCAGGGCCGAGACTTCGCCATCCGTCACCCTGTCAAGTCCCCCTCCCCACCGATGACATAATTAAGCATTATAATTGAAAAACCGTGAGCCGACAAATCCAGGCGAAAATCAATCGACAAACGAGGAGAGTTTTTCCAATGATACGCCTGTAAAATTTCTGCGAGGCCAAGCCGGAGATAATCGAGTTTCGTCCTTTGTCGATCAATTAAGGAGATTGATTGGGACATCAAAGGCCGTCAAAAATTAACACAAAAAAGTTGCTCTCATCGAACGTAAATCGAGAAAATACCAACCCTTTGAAAAACGAAGGCATTAAAAAAAAAAAAAAAGCATACTGAAAGAGGGGTCAAATTTGTCGTTGTTGACATGTAAAACTAGATTAGGACAAGTCTTTTTTTAATCTCAATCATTATTCGCACCTAAAAACAACATACATATTTTATCTATCTATAAAAACCTAACTTTCAACGGCTAACCTACAAAAAATTACGTCCAATTTGACAAACCATTTTTCGACAGGTAACTTAAAACCTTCCTATTTTCAATTTGTTAACCTATCAAAATTGCGGCAGGTAACCTAAAAACCTTACCTACTATTTGACAACTTATACCTTACTTTTCGATGGTAACCTAAAAATCTTACCTACAATTTGACAACTTATAAAAAAACCAACTTTTTGACTGATTACCTAAAAATAACGTACCTAAAATGTGACAATCTATAAAACCTTACTTTTCGATGGGTAACCTAAAAAACTTACAATTTTATGACTGATAAAAACTAACTTTTCGACGGGTTACCTAAAACCGTACCTACATTTTGACAACGTATAAAAACCTAATTTTCAACGGGTAGAATATAAACAATTTACATGCATTTCATTTTGTTCACCTATAAAAATGGCGATAAGTAATCTAAAAACAACTTACCTATGATTCGACAACCAACAAAACCTTACTTTTCGCTGAGTAACCTAAAATACTTACAATTTGACAGCCTATAAAAACCTTAACTTAGAGAAAAAATGACGATGAGTAACTAATAAACAGTTCCCAAAAAAAAAACCCTACTTCTTCCCAAATTTACACCCTAGGTAAATCATGTATAGCGTACATGATTACAGGGTGACAACCTCTAAAACATAAGTTTTGACGGGTAACGACCTTCCCTCCTAATAATTTGAGCAACATGTACTTTACGAAATATAAACGATCAAAACCTATCGTTAGACAAGTGAAGTTGAGGAATGTATGAGAAACGTAGTTTTTATATGGTGACGTAGGAATAGCGTACTATTTGATTAAATATAATTAGCAAACATTAAGGATGAAATATTAAAACCTCGAGACCTATTTTAATATAATTTGAGTAATGTATAAAAAGAGTTTTGCTCGTCAGATAAGCCCGTTGGCATGACATAGTTATGTTAGAATGTATGCGAGGCGGACCCCTTGTGATAGTCATATCTCGGGCAATTTTCGATTTACTCCCCGATCCCAATCTGGTTGGTGAGGTTTTCGACTGGATAATAAAATAAAGGATAAAGGCATATTAGGACGGAAGGGGGGATGTCGGATTTTCGGATTTATTCAAATGGTACAAAACAAGGCGATAAGTTTGGATTTGATCCTCCGATCTCGACGTCACGCAGGCTCGCGGACGATATATTTGTTTGTTTTTATTTTCCATGGGAAAGGGGGGATTTTTCACACGTGGAATAAAAAAAGACGGCTTGTACAGTGAGGTCAGGGGTGAGAGAGAGAGAAAAAAAGGCCGGACCTTGCTGTCGAGCCACTCTTGATCGGCCTGAGTGCTTAATTAAAAGCACTTCGTCCTCCGGTGGCCTGATTGTGCAGCCGCCTAAAATTGTCACGATCTGCTACAACCATGTTGTAAAAACATTGTAAAAATTTAAAAAGATTTTCTTCCTTGTTTGGAAGCCAAACCAAAATCACCATCTCACTCATTCGGAAAAATATTTAATCGTGGTTATATTTATGGACTATTTATTTGGCCAAATTCACCGACATACCAACGGTAGCCAAGACATGGATCCACGTCGAACATTTGCCAAGTCTAGAGATGCTCGTCTTGACATTCGCCACATAGCGGTTACTGATTTGTGTAGTGGCTACAAACACAAATCATTCACAGAATATCCACACATCGAAAACTTTGTTCTGAATTTTGTAATTCGGAAGAAAAACGTTCCAAATTTTTGGTTCAGATCGAGGAAATCCAAGACTGTAAAGTTGGGCCAACAGAAATAACGCTATGTTGTTCTTTCATTAATACTAGTTAGGAATCGTTTATTACTTTTTCTTTTACTTCATTTATTTGTATCTACAACTGTACATTAGTATATACAATCAGCAGATTGGATAATTTTTGATAGTGGCATTACGGGCGTTATGAGAAAGTATATTGGCAGCCGCTCTGGACTAATAAAATGATAATAATCATTTAAGAGGTCTCTTATCCACACTCTTTTCAGATGTTTACGTGGTAATTGTGGGAAATGGAGTAATCGTATTTGTGTGTTAGTATGATTTTATAATTTACTATGAAAACGTTTGTAATATGTTTTGATGAATGAAAAAACTGTTGGCATGCGAAGATCTCTGTGGAGTGTGTTATTGTTCACGTAAAAAGGAACAGAAACAATTAGTCTTAAAATTTTGGATTGTAAACTTTGTAACCTTTGAATATGAGTATTTAGCCGATCCATAAGCTTGACCCGTACGTC